CAAAACCACTCTCAAATGCTGGTCACATAAATAAAATAAGATGGATATGCAGAGCTGTGGCAAAATCCCCCTGCTGTGGCAAAGGCAAAACTTGCCAAGCAATGACGCTGCCCTTATAGCTGCTGTTTGAGAAGTGTTTCCTTACGGTATTAAGGGAATTAGCAACACCCAGACTTAATGTCATTTAATTCTGCAAATACATTTCAGAGCTTGACTCAGCTCCCAGCTATAAAGCAGTCTCTCTGATTTGCCAGCCGTGATCTTCATAATTTTTGGAGACTTGCATTTTTCCTTACAGCAGCCCAAAAAAGCCATTCTTAGCCTCATTCCTGGGCTCCAGTCTTTTCCTAAGTCTTCTCAGACAGTCATCAACATAGGAGGTAAAAATGGGTCTGATCCAAATCCTGGTTTAGTCAGTGGAACAGATTCCTGCTGAATGAAGTGAGGGCTGGATAAGATCAGTAGACCCTATTTTTTCATTCCCTGCCTCGACAGGAAGGATCTCTAAGTGCCCTTCCAAGCTCTGGTATGAAATGACTCAAAGCCTGAGACTACTGCTTCTCCTGGAAAATACTCCCCAGACCAAACAGATCATATGATAAGAAAATTACTTCCACCTTTATCACAACCCAACTTCTTTCCCAGGTTCCCCCGGAAAGCCCTAATTTTGATTCCCCTTCAGTTGTTTGTGATAATTATCCACGTAATAAATTCCTCCCATACTTTGCGTGGGTACTTGCTTTGGTGCTTCCATACATCCTTGTATCTAAGTCCTTACAACTGTTTGAGCATTTTAGTACTCTTCTGTGATTTCAGTACATAAATGCTTCTTTCACAAATGCAGCACATCCTGCACAGAGATGTGAACTGCTTTACTCAGTATAACACAGCAGCTATCTCTAGGGACAAGAATATTTGGGTGGGATTCACTTGATCCTTGGCATTAATCTCTCTGCACTGCTCTTCAGCAGAACAAGATGGCTCTAGGAGGCTTCTAAGGAAATCTAGAGTGACTGTGAAAGCTGCACCAAAGACATCTCTCCTTACATGATGTGCATCAGGCCCTTGGGAATGGGCATCTGGAAAGGGAACAAATTATGTGCCTAACAAAATTAAAATGTTCTGAACAACTTATTGTGCTGACTTCTTTTTCAGAGAGGTGAATAAAAATTAAGCGTTTTTATAACCTTGGAAGCTCCCGTTTTGAAATTCTTAGAATGGAGAACTGTGGTTGTTGCTGCTGCTGTGTTGAAAAGTGTTACAATGAAGACGCACCAGATTTCTTAAATGAACCAACAAAAAATTCTGCTGAAACATGAATTAGATTTTTCAATGTTTCATGCAATCCAATTTTCAGCCTTCGGTTTCTAATTTTGGTTCATAGAGAACTTCGGTCTTCTCCTGCTCACCCTGCTTTAGAACAAAATCATACCTTTCATTTGGGATTTCCAACTAAATTGAGACAGTTAGCTCCTGCTGCATCCTATCCTTCAGACACATCCCTCCTCAATCTGCATTTTGTTTTACTCTTTTAGCTTTCATAGAATACACTAATATGCACTCACAGTTTTGCTCCACTTGCCCTCTGGTTATGAAGTTGCCCATCAGTGCCAGCCTCTGATAAGCTCAGCTTGTTCTCCAGCTCCCCATGACACTGTGCTTGACCTCATGGGTGTGGGGAGGAATATGGAAAGTCAGGCTGAAAATCTCATCCTTCCACTTTTCGGTCGAAAATTAATTTGATGTGAGCCAGTACTGCTCTGCTGACTACTATTTTGTGCCTCTGAGCTCACATTTCACCATGCTATGTTCTCGTGCCACATAAAACCAAGGTGAAGGTGTACCGCTGAACGCACTTTCCTTTATAGAGCAGAGCCATGGTTTAGGAGTTAAATTTGTCAGCTCATTGAAAGAAAACACAATGAAAAGGTGCTCCAAACTCTGTGACAGCCCTGAAAGCAGACTGTTACCACTCTCTCAGCTCCCTTATTTCAGTTTTTGGCTACTGGTTCAGAGCAACAATGAACTTCCACTTTAGGAACTACAGAGGGAAGATGGTCCGCAAAGAGAATAGCTTGGGCACTGGGGACAATAAGAGGTCTGGGGCCTGAGACTTAGAGGCAGGCGCTCCCTTCTCTGTTTTAGAGAATTTCAAAATACTTTGGTTTTCCTTCCAAAATGGAAAAAAAACAGACATCTTACAATTGCAAAACCCTCCATAAAATGGAATGATCTTTTTTCTCCCCACAGTTCCATCTGAAACAGATGGAATTTTCTTCAGTGAAGTGACCACTTAATTAAAAATATGGGATACCAAATTAATACCACTTCAGCAGGTACCGAGGGGACAAGTGAAAATTGTCCAACCTTCTCCAGGTGTTTAAGTCAACTGTTTATTGCTTTTTAAGGTGTTTGGCAGCTGGTAAGTAATTTAAATGACGCTTGTCGGCTCCCAAATAGAAGAAATAAATGAACACAAAAGAGCAAGATTTCAATTAAAGTTCATCATGTAAAACAGGCCTCATGCCTTCCCTGACCACAGAGATTAGCTTTTGTGTCTGGAATTGCATTTCATAAACCTCCTCCCTCGACATGGAACATCTGCTCCCTTTAGGACTATTGTTTTACACCCATAAATAAAACATAAAATTACATTTTTGTCACTCTTCAGGCCAGATCTTCAGCTGGCATAAATCAATGGTGAGCAGTCAACCTCAGCAGAGCTCTGCTGACTTAAACCAAATGAGAATCTGGCCCTTGATGCTTTGGTGCTGAAGAAAATAATGGGTCTGGGCAGAGCGTGTGGGACATTGTTTATCGGAGAATGTGTGTGAAACTACGTGGAGCAAGTAACCATAAAGCATGATTGATCTCTCCAGCATATTTTAGCACTTTTTTGTGTGTGTGTGAGTGTTTACTGAAACCTTTTAGGTAGTGCAGTCTTCTCAGACATCATTTTATGTTTGAAAAGCTTTCTAATTCATAATGAAAAGTTACGCGTCGCTCCAATGAACCCCTAGCTTCAATTACTTGCTGTGCAAATGGTTGGCCTGCATTTTGACCAATGTTTATGGTGTTTGGCAATTTTTCAGTAGCTACTTTGCCCTGATATGATTAATTTCTTGCATAATATGAGGTTTTGCATGTGTGGAGCTGAAATAATCCTGCTAGGCAAAAGTGAAATAAAAGAGCTTGTGTGTTTCAGCTTTAGAAACATTTGAAACATAACATCACAATTCTAAGCGTGCCAATGATAATACAAGTTAGCCATGGATGAAGACAACCACAAGAGACATGAAGTTCCTGATGGGATTCAGAGGCATGAAAGTCATTCCTTGGCTTGTAAGGTCAGCATACTAGATCATAGCTGGGCAGCCCAAGAAGCAGAAAGCAAGAGACAAGCCTTCAGCACATCGTACGTGACTGCGCTGGTCGAAGTGAGAATGGCGGCTGTATCCATTTTCCTTTCTGAATGCCAAATCCCACTCCAAATGCTAGTCTCCCTTTGCACCAGAAGTGCTAACATGCATTAACTACCCTGAAGTAAATGGAGGTAGAGCTTGAACAAACAAATCTTCATTTAAAAATACATTTAGCTTTAAGCACCTGAGAAATCTCACTGGAGTCATGCTAGAAAGCCAGGTCTGTGTAACAGCTTCTTTATTGGATCAGAGACCTAAGCGGACTTTACAGTAGATGACTGGATAGCAACATTTGGATCTATGCAACCCTAAGAGGACAGATTTTGCTGACAGCTTTTTTTCAGTGGATCTGAGGAGAATGAGATACCCAACTCCCATTACACTCTACAGCACAAAGATGCTTCCATGGAACCTGGTGCCCAGTTCTCTTTGGGCTTGATAAACAACAGGGAGCACTAGCTCCCAAGCTGTCTGCCCTGCTACTGCAGCCCATAGATACCTCTGCTCTGATTCAGCTCATCATTTAATGTCTTAATGCAAGCACGCCCTCTTCACTGATTTAATCTAAAATGTTGTGCTGTAAACTCAAGAGGCTCTGTGGTGGGCAATAACTCCCACACTAACTCAGGTATGTAGAAAGTTATCCTCAGCAGAAGTTGAGAAGCGGATCACTGGAGGTGGTAACCTCTTAAACTGCCCTAGAAAGAAGCCCTAAGGTGCCTTCAAAATCCCAACCTCCATATTTTTACTTCCTACAATCACACACTTGTCACCTTAATAGAAAGTACGTCTACATTGCAAATTCCAGTATAGCAAAGAGGTACTCAGGCTGGCTATAAATGAGCTAGCCATAAATGAGCCTGCTTTCTGGCAGGATAAATTAGCCCATATGGAGCTAACACTGCCAAAAAGCAGGGTAAATTAGTCCTCTCGGTGTTCTCTGCTGTCTCATCTAGACTGCGTCCAGTATCTACAATGGTTCGTTTACAGCTAGCTTGGGTATTTCTGCATTGTCATGTGGACATACTCAGAGCAATATTATTATTATTGTTGTAACATCTACAAGAGTGCAGGAACTGAGCCTAATGTGGGTTAGTTACCTTTTACCTTTGCCTTTTAGCTCAGTGCAGAGGCTGTCGGATGTGAGAGCACTGCAACATGATTTCATCAACATTTAGGAGTTACTTTTGCTCACGTGAAAGTGCACAGATTAGACTGTCATCTTGAGTTTTAACAAACTTATGGCCACAAAGATCCCTCACAGAGAAGACTTTTAGCTTGGGATTTGTTTCTGCCATTGAACCTTTTCTGATAAGCCAGCCTGTCTGGACCACTTTCTGGTTAAAATAAAAGAAACAAGAGAGTTCATTGATCTGTCCTGGGTAAGTTTGCTCAGCCTGTTTGGTCCTTGAGGTTCTAAAGAGAGCTGAGCTAGAGTAATATTATTTAGAAAGTAACATTCTTTTTTAATGCCTACTTTATCCGTGGATCTTAAAAACACAGAATGCTTTTGATTGAAACAAAATTTTAAAAAGCATTCAACAATTAAGAAGCATGCAAATCCTGCCAGAAAATTACCTGAATTAGCTGAAGTTGAAACAAGTCCTGGGTACATGAAGCAGCATCTGTCTCTGAAATCTGGAGCGACGTGGAACTTCACAAGGCACCTACATGGACAAAAGAAATGGCAAATTGAGCACAGATCAATCTATACTTAAAACTTCCAAATACATTGGTAGGTAGACAACTTCTCAATAGAGACACACTTCCACTGCCAGGGAAGTGCTTAAGGCAGGACGGCTTCGTGCAGGTAGGTGAAATAAAATTAGCGATGCTAAGAAAAGCTGCAGCAGTAAGTGTGCATCTGACAATTAGTACTCATACCAGCACAGCTATCTGGCAAAAAATCACATCCAATTTAATACACACATGCCAGCAAGCCCTCTAACACCAGCTCCCAATATATCATGTTAACAGAAGTCTTCACATTTCAGAAATCCATTTCATCCAGTAGTGCATAATTTTACAACCAGATAGTACAATACATGAAAATACACTTTAGATTCCTGTTTGACTTCTGTGATCTTAATTAGTACCATGCAGAATGAAGAAGCCAACTTTAAAATGCCCCAGCGCTATCCAGTTTCTCAGTCACTGTTCTGCCTTGTCTGGGCTTTGCAGCAAAATGGAGCAGAGCAATCAGCATGCGATGAAATCTCCTTGGAAATGTGAATGCAGCCCTTTCTTTTTCTGTATTTACTTACAGATCAGCGTAGCCCCAAAGAACTATAAACAGCTGAGAGCAAAAAATAAAGGGACCTCAGAAAAGTTTTATGTCCTCCAACTATAAATGTCAGGTGGCAGTATGGGGCAGTTTATTTTTCTGTAGAAATATCTAATTTTTTTTTTTTCCACGAAAATGTTTTTCATCTCTCTCTCAAAAAAAACTAAAATCCACTTAAAACAACCTAGCTCAGATGTCAGAGGATGAACGAAAAGTACCAGAGCAGCCACACACCCAGAGATCTCCATAAACACCCAGATAAGGCAAAATCTTGGTGGTGTAGCCAAGAACCACACTGGGCTGGGTGACTTGAGTGGCAGCATAGGCCAGATGAAGCATGGCATTTGTAGCCAGCTCCGGTACAAAGCGAAGCGCTGGGGTGGAGCACGTGTGCATGACTGGGGGGCAAGGGGCACACGCAACGTTTTCCAAAGGTCTGATTCCTCACGACTCTGCTTTCCCTCCCCAATTAAGGGTTGAAATGAGCCACTGGAATCTACTGTATATCCTGGGGAAATGAACGCCCTGGCTGCTTTCCAACTCCTATTTCTCTCTTTCTACAGCAAACAAACAATAGGCCAAGTAGGATGTTGTACACAGCTGAGGAAAAAAGGGGGAAAAAAAAAAGAAAGAGAAAAAGTGAAGTATTGATAAACTGAGATTAATTTTTACAAAAATGTTTATATCAAGTGCATATGCTTTGCCTCTTGGCCATTATGGAAATGTCAGGGGTTTAATTGGCAGCTGTGAATAGCAGCACCTGCAAACAGCTCAGGGCTTGTTCCTGTGGTCTGGCAACATTCTTACTTTATGCTTTAAATAAAGGCTTACTCACTGAGACAGAAATAACTGACAGTGGATGATTGATGATTGCCCATCACGCAATGGCTGACATCTACCATTCACTGAATCCATTTACAATTTCACTTCCAGATTTCATTAACAGGGCCATGACATCTAGGAACAGGATTGATACAGATGGCAGCTCAGTTACAGAGTTCAGCTGATGCTGAGCGTATGTTAAGCATGGAAAATAGATTACTATGAGCTCCAATCTATCTCATGTGGTACATTTTGGAAACCCTATCTGTTTACTCCAGGTAACCTTTTATAGTTCTATTTATCCTGCCTAGTTTCAAACCAGATAGCAATTTTCCATAGCGGAGAATTTATACTGCCATTTGCAACGTGCATTTATAAAATACTTTGGTGAAATATTAAGACAAGCTTTTGGCATTCTAAAGGTCCCCCCCCCGCCCCTTTTTTTTTTTTTTTTCCTTTTTCTTTTCCTTAAGAAGGAAACAAAAAACACTAGTGCATAAAATCGGTGATTTCCCTAATCACAAATATCCTCTTCGGAGCAAAACAAATGGCTCGCTCCCACCACGCACCTGCGGGTGCCTCAAACCGCAGTGGCCGTGGAGCAAACAGCAAAGTTTCCAGCCGGAGGGGCCAGTCCTGCTCGGCTCGGCACTCCTGCTGACCTTTGCCTGCCATGGGACACCGCGTCCTGCAAATTCTTGTTTTCATCTCCGACGCCTCGCATTTGGCACGGGCTGCTCTTCAGGAAGGCTGAGGCTCAAAATGCAATTTTCCGTTTTCATTAAGAAGCTGGGCCAAATATCTGAATTGAGTTTTCAAACCCCAGAAAGCCTGGAGCTGCTCAGACACAGGACCTGAAGGTGGCTAGTACTTAGGGTCGGGGACACCTCTGTAATTCGGAGCTGTCTTCAGAGCGAGGGCTTGGGACCCTTTCCTTTGGGATTTGTGTGGCCATCAGCACAGCAGGAAGTGGGCATATTTGTCCTGAGCAGCTCCTGACTCTTTAAAAAGTACCAAGCAATCATAAGGGACGCTCCTGAACCAGAATACTGTTTTCTAAAAGTAAGTAGTCCCAACTTAATAAACTCATACCACTATGATCCACACTGATAACAGTCACCACCCAGCCCTAAAGGCGCGGTAAAAACCTGTACAACACCACACTTGAGTAAGAGCCTCGCTTCAGGGCTGACACAACTGCTCCTGGAGAAATGCATGCTATGCTATGCAAGAATTGGTTTTCCACCATTCCCAGACCTCACAATCTGCTTCCCAAACTCGGACTGTGAAGCTCTCGCATCAGTCCATGACCTGCAGCAAGCTTTCAAAATCCTGCAGACACACAGCAGGCCCCTTCTCAGCTCCTCTGCCCTCTCTCCTTCCCTTTAAGCCAGTGGACCTCTGCTCTGTCCCACTTTGCTCTCGGCAGCACCTTCCAAACCCCCTACATTTGTTACTGCTGTTCATACTCTCACAGCAAATAGAGAGTGCAATGGAAATCGGTCTTACTGCAGCTCTTCAGCAGGTGCAGAGATAGCCGGTTTCCAAACTGACACTCCTAATGGCTTTCCAAAAACAGCTCTGTTTCATCTCAAAATTGGTGAGCCAAATCCATTCCTTCCGTACTTAACCAGCCTTGTACATTTAAGCCACTGCTTCAGACTCTGTACGTAATTGCATACAGTTCTTGGAAAAATACTTTTTCTTTATTATGATTTTTTAAAGCGATTAAAGATGATCGCGCACAACCTCTAGAATTAACTTTGTGCAAATATTTATACAAACCTAAAGCTGTGGCTTTTTTTCCCCTTTCTAGGTGAAACGTGGAAGAGCTTTTCCAGAAGAAAACAACTGCATTGTCTACTTTGACTGAAGGCAGTTGCAAAAATCAAAAGCATGAAAAGCCTCTGCTTCTTTTGCACTTGAAAAACAGTGATGCTCATTGTAAAGAAAAAAAATCATCCTTTTTCTGTACCTTCTCTTATGTGTGTCATTGACGATGGTTATAGATGACAGTTAGGGAAGTTCCGTAGGAAATTCCCCTTAGTTGCAAAAAGTACCTTTCTGTAATATGGTTGTATTTGACAGCGCAAAAAGCATTTTTAAAACTTGCCAAAGACAGATGAAAAACACAGCAATTGTGACAGAAACAGATATTCTGTGCTTCGGGGATGAGGGTCCATGTGCACCTCTGAAAAAAACTAACGTTAGGCATCCCATTTTTTAGTACTGCTACTGCAACTTTTGGTCCAGACAAATGGATCTGCACTGAATTTTCTGCAGTCTCGCACACAGCTGGAGACAGTGGAATATTTTCTGCTACTCTTTGTAAATACCCCATAAAATGCACAGTAAGGAGCTACTTCAGCCTGGCATCAAGGCAGGCGGTCAATGTCACCTCCCTGCAGCAAGGCCTAGGAGCACCACTTTGAAGCAAAGCACGGGCCCTGGTGCTCTGTTGAGTAAGGGCCCAAAAATCTGACTGACACACCCCGAAGTCAGGAATAATAGGATTCCACCCCTATTTTATATGCTGAACTGCAGGCTTCCAGCTCAGAGCCAGTCATTGGGGCTCAGAGCCAGTCATTGGGGCTCTCTGCACAGCAAGCTGACAGACATAAGTACAGTAAGGGCATGACTCACCCCCTGCTTGGTTTGGTGTTGGAAAGAGGTCACACCAACCATGTGCTGTAAGTGTGTGTTTCCCCATCATCATTAAGTTACAGCATTCAAGTGACTGGATGAGACACAGACTTCTACTTCTCTGGCACATAAAACAATATGAGACGTATCACATTCAGAACAAAACAAAGCTTATAGAGAAACCTTGGGATCTGGGAGAGGAAGAGAAGCAAGTCTACAGATCTTTTTTTTTTTTAACTCTTCTTTTTTTTTTTTTTTTTAAACTTCTGCATGATCCTGCTGCATCAGTTATCAGGCAGGAGAAAGATGAAAGAGGAGTATGGATATGCAAAATAGTGATGGGAGTGTCTCTGCTTCTGCCTTGTTACTTACATGATCAGTGAAGCCTAGGGATGCTGCACTGTGCTGTATTCTTGTCCCCAAATGTCCTTCACTGCCCTAGGATAATGAGGCAGAGACAGATGCCACAGCCTCCACTTATACCCATAATTATTGCCTTCTCTGACATTCTCTTCAGAGGCACCAGTGTTCTTGTACAGAATATATACTACCCAGAGATTGTGCTTAGAACTAAGTGCCTACATCCATGCATGAGACTTTGGGACAAACACACTCCCAGGGCTATGACTGAAGAGAAAATCTTCACTAATTTTGGTAAGCTTAGATCTTGCAAGAACAGGCACTGTGGGGAAGTTTGTTAAAGAAAGAGAAAAGCCACAGCTTATTTTACATAGATAAGAAAGATATATAATAAATGAAAGCTGCACTCGGTGGCAAGCATGCAAAAGGACTGTTGAACTGCATTTTTGGCCATCCACCATCCACCTGGTGCTCTCAATAAGGCACAGATTCTGTGTAAAAGCAGTAAACAGGTAATAAAAGATCAAGTCAAAATGCATTTTTGGAAGAGAGAGGAGC